AACATGAGCCAGCTGTGTCCAGGTGGCCAAGAAGTCCAATGGCATCCTGGCCTGGATCAGCAACAGTCTGGCCAGCAAGACCAGAGCAGGGACTGTCCCACTGAACTTGGCGGGGCCACACCTCGAGTGCTGTGTCCTGTTCTGGGCCCCTCACTAAATAAGTCACTGAGGGGCTGGAGCGAGGCAGAGAAGGGCACTGGAGCTGGGGAAGGGTCTGGAGCACCGGGCTGAGGAACAGCTGGGGGAACTGTGGATGTTTAGTCCCGAAAGGGAGGATCAAGAGAGCCCTTCTCACTACAACTGTCTGAAAGGAGGGTATAGCCAGGTGGGGGATACGGCTCTACTTCTAAACACAACACAGGACAAGAGGAAACAGCCTCAGATTTCACCAGGGGAGGTTTAGATTGGACGTCAGGAAAACTATCTTTGCTGAAAGTGGACAAGCATTGCAACAGGCAGCTGAGGGAAGTGGCTGAGTCACCATCCCTGGAGGTATTTAAAAGACAAGTAGATGTGGTCCTCAGGGACACAGGTTAGAGGCCAGTACTGGGTTAATGGTTGGACTCAATAATCTTGGAGGTCTTTTCCAACCTAAAAAACCCTGTAATTTTATGGATTACAAGAAGACTAAATATTCCTGAAATCACAAATAAATGCATGCAAAGGAGTGAATTACAACTTGTATTCCTCTCTATAAGCCACTCTTTCCCTCCTTAGCTCTTTGTAATGTACACTGACAAGTCCTGCCTTGTAATGGGACTTTGTACAGCTGCAGCAAATGGAGGGAAGGGAAAAGAATTTTAAATTTAAATCTTGGTAGATGAAAAAAGATGGAATGTGTTTTAAAGTACATTTATATTTCCTTTACTATATTCACTCATATTACTGAAAATAACAACAAAGACAACTGAATTATGAGGCTCTTGGAAGATTTTAAGAGATGACAAACTTTTGGGTTTTTTTTTTTGTAAAAATAAATGCCATAATGTACAAAGCATTTCCATCTCACTAAATAAAGGGATGGCAGTCCTACAGAAGATGCATGTTCAAAGTCATTTTAATGCAGTATCAGTAGTTCAATGATATGCCTGGGAAGGAGTCTGGAAATACTTCAGGTTTGCACACAGTGCAAAGGTGCAGCTGCATCCAAAGGATTCCAACATTTCTAATTAAGGGAAGCTTTTTCTGGATGTCCAGCTCACCTTTGCTTCACCAAACCAAAGAATACTGCAGTGGTTTACAGACTAGATTTACTACATATGGCTGTTGGATGAAGAAAGGTTGTGACTTGCAGACTCCTGAAGGAAGCAAGAATAAAATGGGTGTACGGCACATTTGTCATGTTAAACTCTACCCTTCTATAAACTTCAGTTGGAAAGAATGCTCCAGCTTCTACTGCAATATCTGGAAGATGGACAGCAAAGGTCAGAAAAGCAGATCTTACTGCATCCTTAAATCTCTTACTACCATAGGTACAAATATTTTAAGTGGTTCCTTTAAAAACTGGTAGTTTTATTCGTTTATTCAGTTCCCAAAGTATTTTCAAACTAATGTCAAAAGATAGTCTTCATATCTATAAATGAATGCAACTATTAGTCACACTGCCAACCATATTGTGGCAGTTTCTACATACATTTCTTTTTTTTTCCTTTACTATTTTAAATTTCCTAAGCCAGAAAGTCCTATTAACACAGCTATTATTTTCAAATAAATGACTGAATATAAGAAAAACAATTAAAAGTGATTAAACAGTTCTGTATTGTCAGACCAGACTGACAAAGTAGGGCTGAACATTAAAATTGTATCTATAGACCAGGCCAAGAGGCATGGAATAATGAGTCTGCAGTTCTCACTTTAATACATCAGAAAACAACAAACTGAAAGCCTTATTTTTGAAGACTGTAAAGGTGCTTTAGTCAGAGTCATTTTCTTGGGGAGGGATACTGGATGTTGTCATTACTTCAAATAAAGATACATTCTTTGGGAAGACATCCCAGTGCCTTTCACTAAAATCCTGCAGTTTACAGTGCAAAGAGTATTTGGGGGCGAATCATTCCCCCTCTGTTTTTCCAAGGGAAGTGCTAAATGGCCCTTTCTCCAAGGCCTGAGCAAACAGAGCACTGTGGATCTTCCACCACTGCTGTAGGCAGCAGCGGATCAGTCCTGTGGGTTGTCCCAGAACAAAACCTAATGTGGCTCAGCAGGCTGCCCTCCCCAGCCCCTCAAACCCTGCTCAAAGCTCCTGCTGGCTGAGCAGTGCCAAGAGCAGCCTGGACATTTCCCCTCAGTCACCCAGCCTTCCAGCTGGGGTTTAGCCTGAAGCTCCACAGCAGGAGAGTGGGACAGGGCTGCTCTCAAACACCAAGGCAAATATGGCTTGAAACAAGCAATTCTTACCAAGTTCCTCAGCAAACTTTCCACAGTCTTGGCGGGATAATCAGCCTGAAGTTTACACTCACTGCTGAATCAGACTGTGCTTGGTAAGCAATGAAACAGCCCAAAGAATTGTGTATTTTTGGTGTTTGGGTATTTTTCTAATTCTAACTTACTTGGGAAAATGCCCTTGCAAGTTAGAATGTAATTTACAGTTAATTCTAACTTACACAAAAATGCCCAATCTGTGGTGAATAGTTTTGAAGGGGTCAGTGAATTAACTATGTACACCAAGCATTTATTAGAGTAGGTGGTGAGGGGAATAGAAGCAATGAAGCAGAATGAAGACACTCACACCTCCCACTCTGCTCCCATCTACATGACAGAAGTGCCCGTTTATCCAAAACTCTCTAGTGGTCTTAATCATTTGCAGAAAAAAAAAATAAAATTGTGACTCCTGGAAATTCTGCAATATTTCTAGGACTGTGCCGATATCTACAATGACAACTGTCCACAAAAGAAAGTAGTAACACCTACTTAGAACTCAGAAACAAATAAACAAACTGTCCAAAACCAGACTGAACTCAAGTTACATATTTTCATCCAGTTAGCCGAGTGGCATTTAAATTAAGATATGGAATAGGATGGTCTGATTCCAAGGAACAGATGTAGAACTCTTAGGACACTGAGCACAGATCAACAATGTTACAGTACAGCACACCAGTAACTGAGTAGTGCAGTCAGCACTTTAGGGGCAGGAGAAACTGGTACTCAGACGCACTTGACTTCATGACTGTGCTTCTCCTTTCCATATCAAGAAGAACAGAATAAAAAACAGAGTATGAAAATATTAATTTGCTACTAACTACTAGGGTAAAGAGCTGTTTTGAGTTATTGAACGATGATGGTGCGGCAGCAGAAAATCTTCCCAGAATGCACTGACAACACAGGTGAAGAAGGAGAGAATGACTAAAAACTGCTGGCTAGAGAAAAAAGAAAATATTCTAAAATCCCTGTCAGTATCGTTTATTAAAGCCAAAAGCTGCCCATTATGTTCAATTATGTAATTTAATACAAAAAATGAAACATGTCTAAACACAAGACACAAAATATGTTATTACAAAAATTCTAAGTCAGCTTTCTTAGGCTGTCTGACATAGCTACTGCACACCCTGACACACACAGATTACCAAAAAAAAAAAAAAAGTTGCCCACATGCAGACCTTGCTACCTGTCACAGAAGGCAACAGCAATGTACAATCTGTAGAACACGTGCAATGTGCTTGCATTAGTATTTATTTCGTTCACAGGCATTAGAGCTAAATTTTAAGTTACTAAGTTAAGGCAATTATGACTGAAAAGGATTTGTAATTGTGCTGAATTATTCAGGCTTAAAGAAAAATTAAACATTAAAAGTAAACGAAGACTGAAACAAAACCAGAGACCATTCAATGAAAGATGGGAAGGCAAGGTCTGGGTTCAGAATTGCACCATGCTTTAGTTACTTTGCACAAAACCAGTGAACATTTTATAAAATTACACTGCATTAGACCTCAGCGAGAAATGCTGTGGAAAGAAGTGAGGATGAGAAGCATTTCCAGCTGCCATTGAAAACAAGCTCAAGAATTGCCTCCCAATTCCACTGCTAATGGACTACTAACAGTCAGTCACACCATAACAAGAACAAGAAAGTCAAGAACTAGAATACCCAAAGAAAATGGAAATGAAAGGTAAAACAGATTTTCAAATTGCATACGGGAGATCACGACATTTGTAAGTATCAAAGCAGAAACAATAGTAAATTATACAAGAACCAGTATGTGCTTAAGGTTTTCACATTTGTTTTAGAAACTGAGGCAATGTAAAAAAAGTTTAGACATGCCCTAGATTTCCCTACTGTATTAAATCATGTTACTCATAAGACACGACATAAGAAAATATGTTAACATGAAAGCATATGGTCAACTATACTGACGCTGCACAATGAGTGGGTGTGTTTAGCTTGTGCTGAGCAGTATTAATTACCACTCAATCTTTAACATTTCCCCTTAACAAGAAGTGAAATGCATGAGAACGAACCCATAAATTAGGAATCTAATGAAACTAATGAAAGTATTTCATGACCCCTGGTTTAGGACTACAGTTTATGGAAGGAACCACAGCAGGGAAACTTAAATTAGGGCCTGAAAAGTGTCACAGGAACTTGCAAGTGAAGTATTCAAGTGCATTCCAGGCAGGAAACACCACCATGGTCCTTAAGAAAAGCCTGCCGACTTCTTCTTTTATTTTTACACATACCTCGTCGAAAACGGCCTAACTCCGCTACCCTATCGCACCTGCAAGAAGGCTTGATCTCCTCACTGCCCCACGAGCACCCACGTGGGTATCAGCTCCCCCCAAAAGAAGCCAAAATATGGTCTTTCCCCCCCACCCCAAGCAGGAAGTTCCCCGTTTTCATAGGAGCAAAATGCCGGCGTTCCCTTTCCCAGAGCCAGGCAACCGCCGCCAGGCGAGGATCCCGCGCTGCATCCACAGGGAAGCCATACCCGCGGCCGGGAGCAGCAGCAGGGCCGGCGCTCCCTGACCCCGGCTGGCACAAAACCCGAGGCGTGGGGGATGACGTACCGGGTGCGCAGGCAGTGCCGGCCGGGCCGTGCCCACGCCAGCAGCGAGCCCCGATCCCCGGGAGCCTCCGGCCCTGAGGCCCAGGCGAGACGCGGTCGAGCCGACCCTACTTCCAGGGCGCTACGGGTGAGGCCGCCGCCCAGGCCGAGCCCAGCGGCGGCGGCCGGGCCGGCAGCACGCCATGAGGAGCGGAGCCCCTTCCCCACCGCCTCCATTCCCGCGCGCGAAGGTGGGAATTTCCCCCGGCGTTACTTACCGGGAGCTGGGGGCGGGGGGGCGCGGCGGGGCCGGGGCAGGAGGGGCGGGAGCGCGCTCGGCGCCCTCACGCCGCGGCGTGACAACGGCGTCCGGTGGGTGATCCCGCGCGCGGGCCCGCGCGCACAACGTGCTCGCGCCGCCGCCACCCGGCCAAGATGGCCGTCGGGCCCGGGGGGCGGGGCCTGGGCGCACGCCACGGCGAGGAGGGGAGGGAGAGAAGGAAAGGATGGGCGGCCCTCGCCAGGGACAGCAGGGGACGGAAGAGTGGCCCTCCTCACCATTGAGACCTAGAGCACGGCCGTGCGTGGGGAGGGCAGCCTCCCGCGGCGGGTTGGGGCCCCCAAGCTCCCCGAGGCCGCCCTGCGAGCGGCGGCCCCGCTCCGAGGGGAGCGCCCGGGTCGGCACGGCGCGGTCCCAGGACAGAAGGGTCTCGCTGGCCTCTGCCTCTACTGGGTAGGTGGTGACGGGCAGCAGCAACAGCTAGACCGGGTGCTTCTCTTCTTAAGGAAAGGTATTTCATTCCCTTTCACGACTGTGGTTTCGGCAGCTCCAGTTTCGCATATGCCCGGGGATTGATACAACGCGAAAGGTACCAAGATAGAATGGTCTTGCTAGCCTTTACCTGCCCTGGGCAGTGTGTCTTCTGCACCTGGAACACTGGGGCTACGTGCTTTCATTCCCATCTGGAAGAACTGTCATTCTCTTTCGGGAGCCCATCACCTCACTAAGGACGGCTTAGGATCACTAAGGATTCCACCCCCAATAATGATTGTGCCCACGGATTGCTCCCATACAAGGAGTGCCACGACACCGTGGTCTTGCTGGCCTTTACCTGCCCCGGGCAGCGCGCCATCTGCATCTGAAACTAGGACTACGCTCTATCCTTCTCCCGGGGAACCGTTTCCAGGAGGCCACCTCTGGAAACTCGGGTTCCATACGCAGCACCGAGCACGCCCCAGGCTGGCTCCCACAGCGGCGGAGCCGGGACGCGGCGCTCCCGCCCCGCCCATGGTAACGTGTGAGGGGCGGCCCCGGCGCCGGAGGGGCAGCGGGCGTGGCGGCGCGCGCGCACTGCGCTCCCCCCGCTGCGGCGGCGGCTGTGCTGTGGCTGCTCCCGGCGGGATCAGGTGGGAGCTGCGGCTCTGCCGGGGCCATGAGGGGAGGAGAAGGAGGAGGAGAAGGAGGAGGAAGGTCCAGCCCGGGGAGAAGCTCGGCTGGCTGAGGCGACACGTTCGCGCGGGGTCTGGGGGATGCCCAGCCGGGTGCCGCCCGCCCGGCGTGCGGGGGTCTCGCGTCGCCCCCTTGGCCGGAGAGCGGAGCCCGGGCTGGGGATCCGGCGGGGCCCGTGCAGTGAGTAGGTGCTGCTGCTTTATTTCCGATGCCAGAGCGGTTTGTATGCCCCAATATAGCGTTGTAAACCTGGTTAATGTTCATTATGTTTGTTTATAATTGTTACAGTTGTAATTAATATAATTGATGTTGATTGGAAGCCCTACAAACAAGTCGTGAGGGGATGGTTGATTTTTCAAAGCGGCTTCATCCTCTGGTGGCACTTGGTTTTCACGACACCTTCCACCTAATAGTTGCACCTTACACTCCTGGTAAAGATGTGCTCTCCTCCTTTAAGGAGCAGCTTGTACCCGTACGAGGTACCTTTGGAAAATCTGGGCTTTCACAAAAATATATTTTAAAAAAAGTATTTTTTAGGTTGATTAGGAATATATGTATAAAACTGCTGATGTAATTCTTTTAATTATCTTTATTTTTAATTAAATTATTTTTTGACAGTATTCTGACAATATTGACATTATCGATAATAATATTAAATAAATAAATTGACAAATAACAATATTTGACAATTATTCTGGTAATTTTCACTAATAGGCTTAAAGCATTGCACTGGAGGCAGGGTAAAAACGATCAGTTTATTAAAGTTCTATTGAGAGAATAATCTGAGGGATTAAATTTACAGGTTAGCTAGTTAAAAAAGGGTGCTGCTGAACACTTACTATCATTGTTAAATATTAAGCATTAGTAAGTTGAATGTTTAATGTTTAATCTTCCATCTAATTAAAAAAATAGGAGGCACAGTGAGGGGCTGGTTTTTAGCTATATCTTGAAATCTTTAAAGGCCTTAGATGAGCAAGGGTCCAGCCAAAGAAAATAAAAGCAGGGACAAGAGCTTGTAAATATGTAGTAAAATGAATAGTGCAGTTAAGAAAATCAAGGAATCTTAGGTATGAAATTCCCTTCTGTTAAGAACAGGAAAAACAGTCTTATGGATGGTGCAAAAATGCTGAAGTACTCAGTGTAGCCTTTATTCAGCTCTCCTGGAAAATATAGTCAGATATTTACTAAAACTGGATAAAATTATATGATTGGAATGCAGTCAGAGTAGCACTTCTTAAAAACATTTTTAAAAGACAGAAAAGCCAGATGATCTCTGATTCCCTGAATGATTCTGAGGAGGTGGTCTGAGAGGGGAATTTGTCAGTAAGTACAGGACAAATTAAATCAGTGTGCACACAGGAAATATTGTAGTGTGGTTCATTGAGAATGGTCTGGCTCAACCTTTCTTTTTTACAGTAGACAATGCACTTAATAAGGGGGGAATATGAGGAAGTCTGCCTTGAGTTTTACAGGAGTTCTGCCATTGTTCAAGCCACTGCAGTGTGCTCTAAAAATAATTATTTTTAAAGATCTTTTTTTAAGAGCTTTTGAATCTGACTTGTAAATGACTCACTTTTGAACAGCGGTGTCATGAAACATGTGACTGGAGAGTTCAGTTTTGAGTGTTTCACTGTTTCCTGGAATGTGGAATACAAAGTTGAAAGGATTGCAAGCACTGTACAGCTAAAGGCTGGAATTAAAAACCACTTTGAGAAGCTTGGTAGCAGGTTGGAAATCAATGTAACTAAGCTCAGTTAACAGGAACTGAGAGAGGAGGAGAACACAGGAATAAAAAAAATCAAAGGCCTGATTCGTGGGAAAGGTGTCTGTGAACAGCAAACAGTATCCCAAAAAATACAGGGCATTTATAATGCATTTGAGCACTGTAATGCATAGTAAAACCAATATTAATTGAGAATTATGTTTTTTCAACTACCCAGGTGTTGCTTTGTCGTGTTTAACAAGTGTGAGTAAATACAAAGACAAGGGAAGTGATTACTCTGCTGAAAAAGGGCCTTAGCTAAAATAATCTGGTTGTTTTTGTAAACAGAGCTGGATATCTAGCCTCTGCAAGAATATTAGGTTTATTACGCTTTGTGAGGGGAGCTTGAAAGGCATAGACACTCTAGAAAAGAAGAAACTAAGAGCAAATTCGATGAGTGCCTTCACATCAGTAGGAGGGTTACTGTGTAAAGGCCAGTGATTAACAAGTTTTTGAGTTCTCTGTAGATCGAGATATGCTTGTTTTTAGATGGTGATAATGATTTAGATGCTGAAGGAAAACCTTTAGCTTTTACGTTGATGAAACCTGAAGCTGAGTGTCCACAAATCTTTTGCTGGAGAAGTAAATGACAGACATATCTCAGGCACAGTCAAGTCTCTCAAGGGCCGTTACAGGTGTGTATTTAAGTAGTTCTGTGCATACAACATGGTGGAATTGCAAGTTTTAATAGGGGAAACTGCTTTGGAATCTGCAAGTTTCCTTGAGCCTGGATTTTTATGGGGCTTTAGTAGGAAAGGCGCAGTAGCTCCTCTTGGGTGTGTTGTGTGCTTCCACAAGGATTTGCTTCCAGGTGTGCACCCTTCAGGTGTCTCCTGCTGGTACCCTGAGAACAACCTGGCTGGTTTGGTTGGGGAAGGCAGACTGTCCAACCATTTAAATCCATTTCACTCTCTTCATCAACTGTGCTTCCTAAAACATCTGCAATCGGATGTTACAGGGCTGGAATGTTTCCTGGAAAAGAGAACTTTTGTGAGAAAGATGAGGGATAAAGTGTTCAAGGACGGGTGGGAAAACTGCTGCTTTGTCTTGATCAAAGGATGTGAACAAACCAAAGAGTGAAAAATGGCAAAATGAAAGTGTGGCCTTGATCATGTCATGAAGACATTCATATATTCATGCTGTTAACAAGGAAACAGCAGCCTGTTAATGATCTTTGGAATAACTGGATTGAAAAATCAGAGACGTTTCCAGCCAATGCTTCTAAAGATATAGTGTGTCTTTCCATTTTTCAGCACGTGTAAAGGAGAAGGCCTTCTAAAAAAATTACTTGTTTTTATACGGCCTAAAAATGCAAAGAAAAGTTTTATTAGGTGACTTAGCTTTTAGAGCTAAGTATTGATGTCTCATTTAAAATGAAATACTTTTACTTCTGCTAGTACAGTGTCCAGAAGTGTTACTTGAGTGAGCTGGCCTGTTGCTACATAATTTTTCCTTAGTACTTCTATCAGCTTTCAGGTTTTAAAGTTGTGAGAGTATTGGGGAGCTTCAGCAAAGCTATCCAGAATGTGTTGTTCTTGAGCAGGACTTCTGTCATGAAAACTCAAAATCATCTCAAATTTAGTTCAACCATTTAAAATTTTCAGACTTTCTCATCACTAGTACACAATATGTGGCTGATCTATTTGCCAGCAGTGGTTTGGAGTTGAAATTTTGGGGTTTGAGAATCTTTTCCTGTTAGATAAAAAGAAATAAGCTCAGTTTAAAACAGTAGGAAACTTGAATGGTGTTTCTTGCTGTGTATTTCAAAACCCCAAAATGTAATGCCTCCAACTTTTGAGAACCAGTGCAATACAAGATCTTGCATTATTAAGTTATTTAGGACTTTGCTCTGTGTGCTGAAGCTTATAAGAAAGCTCAACATCATTATCTTAAGGTATACTTTGAAAGTTCCAGTAATTTTTTTTCTAAAAGGATATATAATCAACTTTGTGGTGTAATCAGAGTGAACAATGTAATTTCTGTGATTTACCTTGTTTTGGTGGGTTTTGATGGGATGTTTGCATAGTCCTTGTGTCTTTAAGGGTGGGATTTGGAGTTTTTCATTCATTTTCTCTTGAAGTCAAAAGAGTGTCAAGACTTACTGGTGATAATATTCAAAAGATGTTTTCTATGATGTTTTTGAGATGTGATCACTTGGATTACAACAGAACAATTTAGCTTTACTTTGTGAGGTTGAATTTTCTATGTATATTTTTAGAGGTCGGAAGAACAGTATTTTTGGTGTCTGTGTAAATCTGAGAATTAAAATGAATGCAACTCAACCTCTCTTAGTTCACTATCACAAAAGTAAAGAAAAAAATTGCTCAGAGTTTGGATTAGAAGGTAATTTGAGCTTTAAAATTCACAAATCCGGGATAATAGTCTCCCCAGTGCTTAATAAACATAGTTTGAATTTTGGTGCAGCGTGGGGTTTGGTCTAGATGATTTTTGAAGGTCCCTTCCACCACTCCAAACCATTCTGTGATTCTGTGAAAAATGTTTGTTTTTCAAGTAGCTGTGAACTAAATATTTTGTAATTTTTTTCTGAGTTTTTTTTTTTTTTTAATTTAGATAGCATTATAATTAATATGTCTGTGAATATATATATGACATCTGTTGGATTAGCTGTGTAGTGTCCAATGTCTCTTCTGAGAGGATGGTGTTTGAACAAGAATTTTGTCTGAAGCCTTTTGTGACACTCACTGTTGTCAGTATTTAGCTATTTCTACACAGGCAAATATTTCTTCAGATTTTGTTTATGGTAGTTAGGACTGCAGTCTTGTATATGAGAAAGCAGGTTAAAATATCTGTGTCAAGTCTTATGTTTGCAAAATTTAAAAAAAACTATTCAAGGGCCAATAGAAAGTGTTTGGTGTGCTAGAGAATTCAGATTTCCTGTGTCCCACAAAGAATTTTTAGCTGCAGAGTCATTGGCACAGAGAAAATGTTGTCTCTGCCTTGTGTCAGTTCTGTAGTAGGTAAGGTGTGAATCCTGTGGGTCCCAGCCTAACTCAGTCCCTTATTTGCTGTCCGGGAGAGGTATTGGGAGACTTTTTCTGTGATTAGCAGAGCATGATGTGATGTTATGGATGTAAGCAAAGGGGGGATGGGAGATCAGCTCTAATTCGCTGACTCTTTAGTGCTCTATGTTTAATTTTAAGCTTTAATGTAGTTCTTTTTGTTGAACTTATGTTTCTTTGGAATTTAAAAAAAATATATTTTAAGCTACTTCCTAGGAAGAGTAAAGTGCTCTGTACTTTAAAACCCAGCTTAACTAAGTTGTTGTATATGTGGTGGTAGTCTGGAAGAAGTATCTCTTGCTCCAGTTTTTGAATTTGTAGATTAAAAGAACTTGTAAGTGTATGTGTGGGAGAGAATGAGGTTGTACTGCTAGCCTTTAAATCAACATTTTCAATTTTAATTTCTTAAAAAAACAGAACTATAAAATTCTGAAACCCTGACTAACTCTGTATGCATAAATTGGAATGATACAAGTAAAGTATGTCTTATGAATATTGCAGGCATGTATTGAATTCTTAAAGACACAAAATTTACATGTGTGGAACCTCTTACATGTATTACACATATATATTCTATGTATTTATACATATTACTTTATATATATATATATATATATATAAATAAAATGTTCTACATACATGCAAAAATATATGTGTATGTGTATAAACCACATATCCTGTAGGCTGTTATAAAAGTCTGAGGCCAAAGAATCAAACTAACTATGTGAACAAACAAAATCCTTTCATTTTCCCATCAATATGTCAACTAACTCACTTATTTTCTCTCACTAGAAATGACTACCCCAAACAAGACCCCACCTGGTGCTGATCCAAAGCAGTTAGAGAGGACTGGTACTGTTAGAGAAATAGGCTCACAAGCAGTTTGGTCTCTTTCGTCCTGTAAGCCAGGTAAATCACAACAATGATGTAAAAAGTTGAATGTATATTTATGTTTTGGGAGGAAGACATCCACAGCAGTAAAACTGTTGTAGTGTAAACTGTAGTTACTACAAATAATGTTGGCCTTCACTATATGTGACACAATATGAGAGTTATAACTGTGTCAGAAATCTTATGAGGAACTATCTGATATGAACTAAAATCTTAGATATTTTATATTTTTTTTTTTTAAATTTAATGTTTTAATTTAATTTAGTGAACAAACTAAGCCATGTGAACAGAATCACACGCAGCACAGTGAAGTTGTTTCTATGCTTTGGCATTTTGTCTGGGTGTCTTCCATTTTTAACTAAGGATGACCATGCTGCTGGGTGACCTAAATGTTCTGCCTGAACTTTTTAACTTTCTGTGGGCTCAGGTGTTATGGGGTGGCCCTAAAACCCTGCAAGTCAAATGAACCTGTGGTCCTGAGCAGTTAGTGATACCTGCTGAAAATATCTGAAAATCTGTATTCTTTCCCTTTGGGGTGGTTGAGTTTCTATTTCAGAAATATCTGTTGGGAATTGATCAGTTGTCTTGCTGCAGCCTAGGGTTAATGATCCCTTTATGTCACAATATTGTGCTCAGGCTGAATGACTTTGGTCTGAAATCCTGGGATATTGGAGAAAAAATGTCTCGTGGTTTTGTTGCTTAAAAAGACTGAAGGAATTTTTTTTTGCAGATGAAACTTCAGCTGCTATATTGGAACTGCAACTAGTGTGGACAATCAATAAAAGGATATGATTAGTAAAAGGACAATGAGGGCATAGAAAGTACATAGCTGGAGGTGCTTCTTCAAATGTGATGCATTAACCTTTAGGAATACTGTTTTTGCCATCTATTGCCTGTTCTAGCTAGTATGTGAAAAAGCAAAAATATTTCAGGACATGACTTGAAAAGAAAATGTTACATTTGGCTAAAATTTTATAATGAATGGTCTCGGCTAATGATTTTTCTTTAGTTCAGCAGTTAAGTTACAGAAGAAGTGGAAAAATCTAACTGTAAATTATTGCTCTGGCAACCAATATGAATTCCTACTTAACCACTTGAAATTCCAGGACATGTTGACATGGACCCCACAGAACTCAACAGTATTGAACTTCTGCAGATTCCCCTATTTCAGTTTCATGTCAGAAAAGCATAGGTGCACCTTCGATATCTATAAATATTTCCTAATATGTTATAACTTGGGAGACATTAATTTGTAACAGTTGAAGAAGAGCTACATTTGCATCACAGAAATGGGATGTTCAAGATTATCGCATTTTCTTTTTCTTAGGGTTTGGAGTGGATCAGTTACGAGATGATAATCTAGAAACTTACTGGCAGTCAGATGGATCACAGCCTCATTTGGTGAACATCCAATTTAGGTATTAAAATATACTCTCTGTGGGTTAAGGTGCTTTGTATAACTTTATATCGATGACTGTTCAACAAGATAGGATTTCTGGAAATGCAAGAACTCCTGGGTTAGTTCTGTTACCCAACTGTTAAGAAGTCAGCATTTCTAAAAATTAAATTTTCAAATGTTATGATCACTAAATGCCTAAATAAGCAACGAAAAGGAATGTTTTATGATATGTCAGTTTCAGCATCACATTTACTCATGTAAGATGACTTATGTCCTGATTTTGTGTCTTTGAGTGTCATTTGGAGGGTAGATGACTCCTATGATACCTAACAAATGAGTTTGAGAATCCTTTTTTTATTCCATCCTGTGTAGGATGCTTTCAGTACTTTAACACAACTTGAGGTGAGATGTTTTTCCCCCTTTTTTATTTACTTTCTTGAGAAGGCCTTGGTCCAGTAAGAGAGCCCATATTTGAAAAGCCTAACTTAAAGCTTCATTATGGACAAGTGCTTATTTGGCATCTGTTTCTTGGTATACCAACGTTTCTGAAGGCAGGCAAAGGAGAATGGTGAAAATCAACTGCATAATATAATATGAAAAATCACCTAGTTCTTCAACAGCAAGTTTCTTATGAATCACTAGATACACTTACATTCATTTTCAGAACATTTAAATCCTTAGTTATTGCAAACTAGCAACAAACTCATCCCGAATATTTTTCTTTATGATGCTTACATAGCTTGTGTTGCTTCTTGCAGAAGAAAAACAACAGTGAAGACCTTATGTATTTATGCAGACTACAAATCTGATGAAAGTTACACTCCAAGCAAGATCTCTGTCAGAGTAGGAAATAATTTTCATAATCTTCAGGAAATTCGGGTAAGCCAATGATGCTTTGCATTCTATCTTAAAACAGTTTTCTCCTGTTAGGACATGTGATGTAATAAAGTGGTTTTTGGAGATAAAATATGGCATTGTGCTTGAAGGGGGAAAATGGCTGGTTTTATTTTGATGTTTGCTTTTAGTTTTTATCTTGTAAATTTAGTAAACTAGTTTCTGTTTTTTTTAATCAGACTTTTACCAAACATAATTATAATTGAATATGTTAATAAATTATGTTTTACTTCTGAGTATTGTTTCTAATCTTTTTCTTTTCTTTTTAATACTGGACAGTCACTGAGATATAAAGATTTTGGATGGGATGCAGTTTTTTAACAATATGAAGCAAAATCCAGTTTTCAATTTTTCAGATCGGTTTAAAATTTTGAATAAGACAGAGTTGTAGTGTTTTGTTAGTGTTTCTTATTTAAAAAAATATCAAATCCAGTATTTTTTATGGTGATGCTTCTAGTCACAACTGTGATAAGATTTGAATTAAGTGATTAGTTTTGCTTAGCCTTTGGTTAACAGTGAAAGCAGTGAAATAATCCATGATCTTGCTAGACATCCACCTTGGAAACTAATTGGGTTACTTATAAGCAGATATCTTTACTAATTCTGAGTCAGGGTAGCCTCATGTTTCAAATTCCTCTTCTCTGGAGCTCAGCAGTTATTGGCTGGTATTTTGGGAAGGTTTAACTTGCCAGCCTTACATGGCAAGTATTGCAACAACAGAAAGATTGGGATGATGAGAAAAGGATGCTGCTAAATTGTGGCTTGAATTTTTACTTCTGGGATTTTTATTTTTTTCACTTTGGTTTTCCATCCCAACAATCCAAAGTCCCAAGAGGAAGTTGTAAGTAGAAAGCTGTAGATCCTATGGGAGTAAAAAATAGTGTAGTAGAGATGTCTGTTAGCATTATGTATCTACATCCTTTCAATGATTTGTGATATTCTCTCAAGTTTCGACTTACACTTTTATACTAAATCTTAAATGGAAGGCTCTTGATGTCTTTTATTTTTCTTTAATTAATAAAATATTCTTTTGAAGAAATATATCACCACATTATTTTGACATTCATCAGCTGTAAATTCTGCCTTTCCGTCTTCATAATTGTATCATAGCAATTTGGGAGCTGCACAGTCTCTGAAGAACGGCAGCTGGATCCTTTCACCTGTTAGGCTGTGGGTCAGTTTTCCGAGTATCCACTAGATGTCAATGTTGTCCTTAATTATCACTTTGATTTTTGCACTTTTATCTGCCCTTTCAATAACTAAATGATTATTGTCCCTTTTGTAGTCATGCTTGGTACATCTCACTGCCTAACTTTAGTTTCTCATACAGTGGTAAACTCCTGCTCTTGAGGGTATGTGTGTTATTAACACATTAAAGATCTATAAAGCAATAAAATGTATAACAAGTGTATTAGTTTTCTCCAGTGTCTCAGGCAGTAATTCTTTAGCTCTTTTCTTGTCAAACACGAGATTCTATGCATAATGTATGTAGTTAAAAATGGTACTGCTATATGAAACAAGTTACTAGCATTTTTTATGATATATGAATGTGACTCTAATACGATGCATGACAGAGTAATTCTTATGCATACCACATGCTCTTGTACTTTTTTTACTTCCAAACTGAGGGGAAAATATGGTCACGCTTCTTATTAATGAGATACAATATTCTGATGCTCTAAAATGCTTGTGACTGTCATCACCATGATGTTACATGTTGCTATCAATTTTCATATTTTCTAAATGGCTTGATACGGTTTCTTGAATTTTCCTTCAGTCTTGAAACTTTCTTCAGTTTCTTTGACACATGGAGAGGTTATTAAAGCAGTGTGAACTGTTATGAGCTCTTTACAGAAATCTGCTTAATTATACAATGATTCCATTGGCTTCAGTACTGATTAACTGGGTGGAAAATCAGGCTAAAGCATTTTATATTTTTCCATGGATGCTTGCCCAACTCATAGTGTGTAATGAATGTTTCTTCTTTCCTAATGGTCTAATTTTCAACACAATGCAATATGCTGTTGAGCTAAACTTTGTCACAAATATAAGATCAGCTTTAGTTTGTATTCTAGTATGTGAGCATATCCTGTTTGGAACCTAATATGAATTTATTTTCTGAATAAAAGGTTTCTTCCCCCTTGTTTATACTCCATTGTAAGGGTGAGAACAATCCTTGGAACCTGGCAGGATTATTCCCTTACTGCAGTTAAGGGGTGTGCACTCAGCCTTCTCCTATGGCACTTAAGTGCCATTGTATCACAGCTGCCAAGCTTGGAGAGGAAATATTTTCTCATCTGCAGTCATGGAGTTTTCTCACATGATGGTACAAACAGTGTGGATGTACAAGATAGTCTGTAGAGGCATTTTTGGAACAGCATCCAGACTCCTCAGGATATGTTATTACACCTTTTAATAATATGAAAACAACTCACTGCAAAGGATATGAGTGAAATGCTGTCTGTGAGAGATCTCTGGTCTTGTCAAGTGATGCTCATCTGTTTATTGCATTTATACCTCTCCAAGACATTCAGATGTTCAGCAATTCATTTTGCTGTAAGGAGATTAAGTGTTTTGATGCTAAGTGCAGGTGGTATTTCAGGGTATCGTCTCAATCCATATATTTTATATATATACATACATACATATATATATACACCTTGTAGTTTACAGTAGTTTCTGCTGTCGGCCTATAAAGTAGGATCTTTACATAGACTCAGGTGAAAGCCCATTAATCTTAATACACCGTTGTTGGCAACAGTATGAGGCCTTTGTTTTAGGTTTTTGTTGGAGTTTTTTTGTTTGTTTGCTTGCTTTTCCTTTGGACTGCTGTCTACTTTGTTTTCAGTTTCTCTTCGATTCCTTTTGGCCTTGCCTGGTGTTTCATAACCAGGTGCAAGCACAGCAGCATCCCTGGTGGCATGGGGTTGTAGCTGAGCACCACGGACAGGGCTTCTTCTCCACTGTTCGAAGAGATTCTGCACTAGAGAGGGGAATTACCAACTGGAGAAATGCCCAAGCTGGGAGGCTTTTCCAAGAGGTAGTTAAGGAAGTGACCTCACTGTAATTCCTTTACTTGTTTTGTGTCCAGTGACTGTAGTGAAGAGGTTGGACTTAGCCAGATGTTTTCTGAAATCCAGCAGTGAGCAATCTTCACCTGTTTTCTGTACCTGGAGTAGACTTAGATCCCGAGGAGTGAGGACATGCTAGCTTGTCATAGGGCTGTTGCAAGGTAATCAACCAAGAAAATGTATTCTTGTGAGTCTCTACTCAAACATCTCAAATGTGCGTTTTAAACTACTTTCCACTGAAGGTGCAGTACTGGGTTGTTACTCCTTTAGATTCCTGACTAAGCTTCATGTACTTTGGTTAGAAACCATTCCTCTATGTTTCATTCAAGAAAAGAGGCATTTCTGACCCCTAATTATTCCTTGGGTTCAGAATGTCAATTAAAAATAGTCAGTCTGCTTCTGCAAACTACTCTTGATGATAAGAAAAGATGGAGTAAACTTTAGTTTTACAGAATTTCAATCTTTCCCATCTGTCTTTAGGATGTTCTGTAAACACAATCTCACACCAGTTCTTCATTTTGATTGGTATCTTGCTGTTAATGGTGGCTGAGTATGGATTTGTTTCATCAGGATGCACACAGATGCACTGTTCCATATATCTAAAGTTTACTGTTGGTGGAAATCTGCAAAGCAGGGGAGTAGAATGCTTCACTGGTATTGATTACTTATTAAGCCTTGTTATGGGTAGGAATCAAATTTCAGAAGAAAGGTTACTTCCATCTATACTCTGTACAAATTTCCACCTTCCAGCAGAGGATATTTTGTGAATCCCCAACTGAGATGTTTAAATGAACTCATCTTTACAAAAAGAAGGCAAATTAAATGATGTAACATCACTGTTGCCAGCCAATATCATCATCACTGTAGGTGATATGACCTATTCATCATTTATGTGCTTATGGAAATAACTGTTATATGCTTCAAACTGTGGAAATTATGAACAGGATTACAATTTTCCTGCCCTTTGACACTGTGTAATGGTAAGACATCAGAGCAGAGCTTACTGTGCAGTCATGAAAAGTGCAGGTATTGAAATAGCCTTTTATGCATATGAGGTGAGTGTATACAAATAGAGAGGTCCACATTTGAGCTAGTAGAACACTGGAAGATTGTTTTGGCCCACCCACTAGAAAATGCATTTTATCTTACCTTGTTATGAAGTAGCATTTTAAGAAAAATAAGCATTTCTTCTCTAGAGGAAAACTAAACATGCTGTGGTACATGTCGCATGTAAAAGATATTTTTGCTTTTGTGTCTGAGCGTTCAGAAACAAATCTATGAAGGAACCTTTTTTTGCCCCAGAAGTGCTCAATTAGGCAAGGGTAACTTAAAGAGGCCCTGTATTTTTAATTGTCAATCTGATTTTACTTTCTGAAGCAGAGGAAAAGCCATGTGAAACAATGTGGCAACAGCTCTATGGAAGGCAGGAAGTTGATGAAGTGCAGAGCTTTCCTCGAGGGAACTCAAGTACAGAGAGCCTAGGAGCTGATGGAAGCACTGTGTTACATATGTGTGGAAACCTTTCCTGCACGTACAATCTTTTTTGTGATTATTCATTTAAATTCCCCTATGGAAAAGAAATTGGAAAATCAACACCCTCACAGTAAAGAATTTTTTGCTAATGTTTAATCTAAACTTTAGTTTAAGGCTATTCCCCCTTGTCCTGTCATTACATGCCCTTGTAAAATGTCTCTGTTTCTCTTTTTTGTAGGCTCCCTTAGGTACTGGAAGGCCACAATTAGGTCACACTGCCACCTTCTCTTCCTGTAGCAAGTGTTTGATTACCTTGCTACCTTGTTCCATCTCTTTTCTGTGCATGAAGTTCTCAGAGGAGGATTTGAAAAGATTTTCCCCAAATCTTTGTTTGTTAAATATTTTACTTCTGTAAAAATCTTTCTGGTACTAGTGGCTTTA